ACATACATATATACATATGTACATTATACACACACACACACACATATATATAGTGTGTATACATATACTGTATATATGTGTGTGTGTATACAGTATATATACAGTATATATATGTATGTATATGTGTGTGTGTGTATGTATTCTATTTGTACCCCGCCTATCTGGTCAAAACGTCCACTCTAGGCGGCTATATATAACAACATTGGCATATTTATAATTATGTATACATATAGTATAGTCCTATTGTATTCACACACATACCTGGCCACGACTGCAAAATATCCAGTACACTCCTGCAGTGGTGAGGGTATATATATATATATATAGGAACCACAAAACGCAGCATCCACACCAGAATCAAAGAACATGAGAGACACTGCAGACTAAAACAACCAGAAAAATTGGCAGTAGCTGAACATGCCCTAAATACAAGCTGGGCATGAAATTCTATTTCAAAATACAGAAGTACTGGACAACACCAGCAATCATTATGTCAGACTGCGCAGGGAAACCATTGAAATCCACAAACACCAGCAGAGCTTCAACACACACAGTACTGTATAATGTACAGTATATTGGTATACTGGATATATACATATTATGTATATATATTTGCTTTTTTTGGTAACATTGTTTTTCCCTCAATCCTCCTATGCAATTGCATGCAGATTTTGTTCAACTAATTGGAGGGATGGAAGTTCTTTTTATGAAGAAGAACTTCATCCTTCCAATTAATTGAATAAAATCTGCTTGCAATTGCAAAGGAGGGTTGAGGGGGAAAAACACAATGGTTCCAAAAAGAAAAAGAAAATGCCACACAAGCACACACAAAACCTTTATTTTTAGATAATACATGGACAGAACACTACAGGTGACACTTTGAGGTCAAATGAGTGGCGTGCTAACTGCACTTTTTTTTGCATTTGTGCAGCACACCATCAAGGGCAGATTCGTTCAGGGCCTGGGAAAAACCCACCCAGGACTTGCGCGAACTTAAATTCTTGCAAAGCAAATGCAGACGATGGATTTGATGCATCACATACACCCTGTTTATTCTCCCGCCTCATCTAATATCACTCTAAAGAGAAGCACTGCCCTCTAAACTGGCAGTGACAGACCTAATTCCATTTCAACACATTTGTGCTGAGCGGCTCTTTTCATAATTTCTAGCTGGATTTGCACTTATTGCAACTGAATGTTGAAGAAGGAAATGAAGCGACCGCGTCTGCCATTATGTCACTTTATTGCCACCCGGGTGGGATGTTATGGATATTTACATAACTTGAATGGGTGTCTCTGTCTCTTCCGCGTTGAGTTTCCTTGAGCAAGTTTGATGATGGTGATATTTCACATTATGAGGACAGTGATGAGATATAGGTATTTTCTTTCTCTCTGAGATTTTTTCAACTCGCCTCTAGAGGTCAGGGAAGGAGTTTGTACTGCCTTTCTCGCATCCAGTTCTTTCTCTATAGTTTGCCTACGGCAGCAGAAATGCTACTATAACTGCCTTAGTCATCCTTCTGTCTCCTGGCCCTGCTTATTATCTTCAGTCCACCAGAATCTTATATTTGGGCTTCATCCGGCCCTGCAAATTCACAAAGTGGTCATTGTATCTCTTTGCTTCCCTTTCTTTTCCATAGTGAGCAGATACAGTTCCAGTTTAATTGGTTGTAAGGAGGCAGCCGTGGTGCCACTACAGTAATTCTGATGAAGCGGACTGTCGTTCATCAAAGCTTATGCTAAATAATGATGATAACCATGGGTCTCCAAGTCAGTTCTGACTTGTAATTCTGGGTTTTCTGAGTATTCTCTACCTGGAAACCCCTGAAAAGGGTCTCCATAAATCAAAACTGACTTGATGGTACATAATAATAATAATAACAACAACAACAACAACAACAACAACAACAAAACAACAACAACAACTAGATGGCTTCCTTCAGTATGATACATCGTATGAATGAGGCAATAATAGATGTAATCTTAATGATAACTAGTCTTTTGCTAGTCATGGTTACAATCATCATGACTGCATGAGAAGATACTTCATAGTTTCCTATATGGAAAGAAGTCCAAGTGGTTCCATTTATCAGTAACTAACCTATTACAATAATCTAAAAAAATTAGTCATGGATACCTATCCTCTATATTTGCACAATATACTACAGTATTATAAAAAGGCAGGTTTTTATTGCTAGCACTCTAATTTGTGACAATGCACATAAACCAAACTGAAGCCTATAAACACAAAATTGGTGGGATGGTCACAGAAATATCACAACCCAGAAAGGTGAATTATAACTTGGCAAACGTTTCTAAAGTGATTATTGCATGCTTTATCTTATCTTTCTGTAGCAGAGCAACAGTGCTTCATCACAGAAATGGGATAGAAAGGTCTCATTTATATGTTTGGTGCAAAAACAATGAGCATCAATAAACTGGTTGCTGGTGTTATTTTGCAAATGGAAATATCTTCTCTTGTAGTTCTTATATTTCTAATATATTACACAAAATACTGAGAAACTTAAAAACATTTCTGGATTTAGCTTTACTTTGCTCATGAAAAAGGTTAGTGCAAGGAGTAAAACAGTCCCTTTGTAAATGCAAAGCACTTTCCTGACAGGGAAAGGGGATATTTGCATCCAATCCATTATTATTATGCAGAATTTCTTCCTCTGAAGAGATGGGATACTGTACAGGATATCTTGACACAATGAGACTTCTTTTTTATACTTTTCTATATTTCTTTTTAAGCATTCAGAATCCCCGCAAATTTTCCTTGATTCTACAA